CTCTGAATGTGGGTGCCAGTTAGGGGTCCTGGGCAGGCTATGGGAATTCTAACAGTGGAACAAGTATTTATCCCTAGTGCACAAATGGACTTTTGGAGCCCATTCCTTATGGAACTAGGAACCTAAGCAATGATGGAGAGGCTACCTTAAATGCCCTTCCACTATAATGAGAATGATGACTACCTTAAATGTCATCCTAGAGCCTTCATCCAGTAGCTGATAGAAGCAGAAGCAGAGATTCACAGCTAAGCACTGAGCCAAACTAGTTGCAGAGAAGGAGGAATAAAGATCAAAGGTGTTGGGACCAGGCTAGTGAAACCCACATAAACAGCTGACCTAAACAAGGGAGAGCACATGGACCCCAGTCTGACAGCTGGGATAGAAACATAGGACTAAACCAGGTCCCCTGAACAGCCTTCATCCAGTAGCAGATGGAAGCTGAAGCAGGCACCCACAGCTAAGCACTGAGCCATACTCCTGGAATCCAGTTGTAGAGAGGGAGGAGGGATGAACAAAGCCATCAAGACAGTGCTGGAGAAACCTACAGAACCAGCTGACCTGACCTAGTGAGAGCACATGGACACCAATCGTAAAACTTGGGAACCAGCACTGGACTGAACCAAACCCTCTGAATGTGGGTGCCAGTTAGGGGTCCTGGGCAGGCTATGGGAATTCTAACAGTGGAACAAGTATTTATCCCTAGTGCACAAATGGACTTTTGGAGCCCATTCCTTATGGAGGGATACTATTTCAGCCTAGATACATGGAGGAGGGCCTAGGCCTCCCCTCAAATGATGTGACAGACTTTCACAATCCCCCATGGAAGGCCCCACCTTCCTTGTGGGGTGGATGGGGGTGGGTTGGGGGGGTTGGAAAGGGGCATGGGAGGATGGGAGGGAGAGGAAACAGGGCGGGGATTGATATATAAAATTATTGTTTCTAAATATAAAAAATGATACTCATGCTTGCTTTGTTTATAGTTCCATTTGATTGGAGTCCTTTTGTCCATAAGACTGTGTCTATCTTTAAAGCTAAAATGTGTTTCTTGTTGACAACAGGTAGATTTTTGTTTCTTCATCAATTTAATCCATCTATTTCTTTTGATTGGAGAATTAAGGCCACTGATAGTGTGATAACTGAAATGTGTGTGTGTTAATCATGGTCTTTGCATCTTTGATTTTGGCAGTGTTATTTGTGTCCTTGTGTTTTAATTATTATGACTTTGTATTTCTCTCAGTCTCTGTACCCTGCTCCTTCTTCTCTTCATCTTGAAATATTACTTCCTGTATTTCCTTAGATTTGGATTTTGTTAGATATAAAAATTTAGCCTGTTTAAAACATACAAAGTGTTCATTCCCTCTCAGTTATGGTGGATGGGTTTCTGGGTGTGTTGATCTAGGCTGGACTTTTAGGACTTGGAGTTCACTTTTCCAGGCTCTTCAGCTTTCATAGTTTCAATTAAGAAGTCAGCTGTTTTTCTGATAGGTTTTCTTTTAAGTCATTTGCATTTTTCATCTTAGAGGTTTCCATATGCTTTTTTTGTCCTGTATACTTAGTGTTTTCAACATGATATGCCTTTGGGTTTTTTTTTCCTGTTGTCTTTGGTCTTCTGTCTGCTTCTTCTATCTTCTTTTCCTGCGATGTTGTTGAAGATCTTGTCTAGTCCACTGTTTTGAGATTCTCCAATAATTTGAAGATTTTGTTTTTGTTTATAATATTCCACAGTTCCTGTGTATTCCTTTCCTGTGTTTAATTTTTCCTATTGATGTTAATTTACTCTAGATGCTCTGCCTTATACTTGAGTCATGATGTTCCATATTCTGCTTGCTTTAGTCTATGAATAATGCTTTCATTTGAGTTTGAGAGTTGAGCTATTGGGTTTTTAGTCCATCTTAATTTCAGCTTAAGCCCTCTTTAACATTTTTAATCTCCTTACTAAATTGCATTTTTCAAGTCTTGGGTTGTCTATGGCATCTCCATCAGCCTTGTGTTTGTGGATCCTTGGCATCACTCAGATGTTTATTCTTCTTAAGCTCTTTATCCTTAATTTCATTGATCTGTTGTTTTTAGTTTGACTCTCTCTCTCTCTCTCTCTCTCTCTCTCTCTCTCTCTCTCTCTGTGTGTGTGTGTGTGTGTGTGTGTGTGTGTGTGTGTGTGTGTGTGTGTTCTTTGAACTTCTTGTATTATTTGGTGAAGTTAATGATTGTCCTTTTACATTGGGACTCAACTCAAAATTCCTCAATGTCAAACATTTCTACAGGACTGGTGGGCACTGGAGAGAAGATACTGGCTTGATCCTTTTTTTAAAAAAAATAGATTCTTCTCTCATACAATAATCCCAACCACAGTTTCCTCTTCCTCCATCCCTCCCCAACTCCTCCACCTCCTCACTCCCAGATCTGTTCCCCATCTGTTTCTTCATCAGAAAACAGCAGGTCTCCAAGAGACAATAAGCCAGACAGGACAAAACAAGACACAATATGACAAGGCTAAAACCCTCAAATAGAGGCTGGATAAGACAACCCTATAGGAGGAAAAGAGACACACCCACCTCTACTGTCAGGAGTCCCACAAAAACACCAAGCAAACAGCCATACATATACACAGAGAACCTGATGCAGACTAATGCATTCTGTGTGTTTGCTGCTTCCGTCTCTGAGCCCCTATGAGCCCTGCTTAGTTGATTCAGTGGGCCATGTTCTCCTCGTGTCCTCCATTCTTTCTGTCTCATTCAATCTTTCTTCCCCTTCTTCCACAAGGTTCTCCAGCTCTGAAGGAAGGGGCTCCTTTGAAGACCTCCAATTTAGATGATCTCTCCACATAATGTCTGACTGGTGGGTTTCTTCACTAGCTCCAATCTGCTGCCAGAGGAAGCCTCTCTGATTATGACTAAACTGAGTATAGCAGAATCTCATTAGGAATCATTTCATTCCCTATTTGGACCCTAGGCCTCTAAGTTGTATTTGGACCCTAGACCTCTAAGCTATCCAGTCTCTGACTCCTGGCCATCCATAGGGCATGGGGCTTCCTCTTGTGGCTTAGGCCTAGAGTTAAACAAAACATTGACTTGCTACTCCCATTAAGTTTGTGCAACATTGCCCCAGTACATCTTGCATGGAGGAAAGATTGTAGGTAGTTTTGAGGCTGGGACGGTCTAGGTATATTCTCTCTGCAGAGTACATTCTCTTGACAAAGAGACTAGAATATAGGGATGACGGTTCCGTGCAAGCAGGTACCTACTCAACATCTCTACATATGATGAGCTATATGGATGTTTCCTCAGCAAGGGAGCTGTGATGTCAGTTTTCAGAGAGCCACCCTCTGTCCCAGCATCAGCCCAAGCTGTTTAGGGATCTCCACGGGACCCCCTTGACCAAAAATTCAATCAAAAGAAACCCAGTTCCACAATTGGAAGCCTTGCCTGGCTACAAAAAATGCCCAGCTCAGACTCATATATCCTCCATTGCTAGGAGTCTTCTCTAATGCCACCTTCATAGATTCTAGGAGGTTTCCACTGCACTGGGTTTCCACACTGAGCTATGAGGCCCCCAGTTCCAGCTATCTTTCCCCAAACTCTCTCCCTCCATCACTTACCCCCAACCCCTTCGGCTCCCAACCCCACCCACTCCCAGTCTTTCTGCAAAATTCTATTTCTTCTTCCCAGGAGGACTCATGCACACAAACCACCACACCCCCGCCCTCAGCACTCCTCTTTAGTAACCTCTGTAGATTTATGGATTATTTATTTAAAAGCTAATATCCACCTATAAGTTAATGCATAACCATATTTGTCTTTCTGGATCTAGGTTACCTCTCTCCAGGTGATTTTTTTCTAGTTTCATCCATTTGCCAGAAAACCTCATGTAATTTTTTAAATAGCTGAATAATATTCCATTCTGTAAAGCTGCTATGAACATAGTTGAGCAAGTGTCCTTGTTGTACAATGGAACTTCCTTTGGCTATATGCTCAAGATTGGTACAGCTGGGTCATGAGGCAGAGATTACCAACTTTCCAAGACATCACCATATTGATTTCCATAGTAACTGTGTAAGTTTGCACTCCCAACAGAAGTGGAGGAGTATCCCAGTGAAGAAGACATCAGAACACGGAAAGATCTCCCATGCTCATGGGTTTGTAGGATTAACATAGTAAAAATGGCCATCCTCCCAAAAGAATCTACAGATTCAAGGCATGCCTCTTCAAAATTCCAACCAGTTCTTTACAGAACTTAGGAGGACAATTCTCAACTTCATATGGAAAAGCAAAAACTCAGGATAGCTAAAACAATCCTGAAGAATAAAGAACTGCTAGAGGTATCCCCATCCATTATTTCATGTTGTACTACAGAACTATAGTAATGAAAATGGCGTGGCATTGGCATAAAAACAGAAATGTTGGTCAATAGAATCAAACTGAAGATCCAGACATAGGCAGACATATAGGCAGGGGGGACCAGATGAGACTAGAACACTGAATAAGGGTTCCAGGTTAGATCTGGTGGGTTGGGGAGAAGGTATAGGTGATCAGACATATGAAGTTAGACCCTGGACAATGGCATGGGAGATCTGGCTGGGAACAGAGTTTGTGTGATTCAGAAGGGACCTGTGGGTGATGGCAGGTATCCAGTGATTGGCTGCAGGGTAGCAGGGTGTCAGACTAGGCTGGGACACTGGCTGTGGGATCTGGGGTAGATGCTGTGAGTTTGGGAGAAGTGGTGGATGAGGGGGGTGGGGTCAGGGAGACTCACCAGACTGGACTCTTAAGGATGTGGGAGGTCTGGCTGGTGGAGAGGTTGAATGCAGCACAGATGGAACCTGACTGTCTCTTAAAATAGTTGTCCTTTGTAGTAGGCTCTGAAGTCCTTTGTGTACATGCCCAGGAGTGGTGTCTGGTAATGTGGCCATTCTACTTCTAGTGTTTGGAGAAGTTCTAAGATTGATTTCCAAAGTGTCTGCACTAGTGAACATTTCTCCCACCTGTGTGCAAGAGCTGCCTTACCTTCACATCCACGCCAGCTTGTTGACGTTCATATTCCAGTGATGAGCAGTCAGATTGGCTGAGATGGAATATTAGTAGAGTTTAGCCTGAATTTCCCTGAAGGCTAAAAAGGCTGAACACTCTTAAATGTACTTACTAGACATTCATTTTTTTCTTTTGAGAATTTGTGTTCTTTTCCATAGCTTATTCTTCTGGGTTGTCTATTGTCATGATGTTTAAATTTTGTGGACATTGTATGCTTGGGATGTCTAAATCTGTCAATCTGTGGTCCAGGGTTGTGATGACTTACAGTTGCACCACAATAGACTATTTCATTCCTCTGAAGTGAGAGATGTGTTTTGTGTCCACACATCCTTACTACATCTCCTCAGAGGGATAAACCTCTTACACACCATCCTCATGGGTAATTAGGGCCCTCTCCTGCCCCCACTGAGTATACCCCATTTGTCATTTAATCAACTTGATCAACTGCCAAACTCTTTCCCCTGCTGGGATCTTCCAGTGTTAGCTCTCCTGAGGTCTGTCCTTTAAGTTTCTAAACTTGTTTCATTACAAGTGTGAGCATCGCAGCCCATCCCTTCAATTGTAAATATGCATTTCTTCCTTGTTCTTCAGCGCATCCATGTCCATAAAATCATTTCCTGGTAGTGACTGTTTCAAGGAGCTGCCTTCCATGGCTTTCTTAGCTGAAGTCTGAGTGTAACAACCAACAACATACCAGAAAATAACATGACAATAGCCTCTTGAGTAAATATCTGAGACTTCTGCCATCCTATGAGACAGACAGAAGACTTACTCTATGGCCGTGTGCACAGTAGAAGTAGAGATTTAGGATCAAGGGAAGTAAACACACAGCAGGCTGAAAGACCAGAGAATGGCAGTCCATATGAAAGAAAGAAATATGTGAAATAATATTTATAGAAGATGACTATATTTCCACAATGTAATATATTGTGTGTTATTGTTGTCCCTCCTGCTTCTTCTAACCAAATGGTGTTTAAATAAATGTTACTTTGGAGACATAAACATTGGGGTAATAGAACCTGGCAGCAGCTAATGCATCAGCTGCTCTCACAGCTTAGAGTAGGACTTGCTGATCACAAGCATATGACCCATATGCCCTGGACATTAGCAAGTTCATCCTGGTGACATCACCTGTAATTACTGTGCTCAATGTTGAAAGGTGTTCTAAAAATCTATCCTAATCCATAGGTCTACATGATAGGGCACATACTTATACTTGTTTCATTAACTGTGTGGAAACTAACAGAAACTCCATAGTTCTACCTCAGGTTAGCCCTTCCTTTTCCTATAATATATAAAAAAGTGACATATCCATAATAGAAAATGATGACTATCAACAAAATGTCACTGGCGATAAGCACACAGCTCCACACCACACCAGCCCAAGGAGTTCTTTTCAGAGACCTCTAGTCAGGAAAACCAAATTCTGTGACTTCAGCAAACAAATAAATGGAGTCTCTGAACAAGCCAAATGCAAACCAAACATGCTTACATGTGGAAACAGGGAGCACTAGTCTTCTTCTCCAGGAACAGCATACCAATTGGTTACCAATACCAAGTGGTCAGCCCTGAAAATGTACACACAAGTAACATTACACACCCTGAGCAGATTGTATCCGCATGCGCGAATGTGTGTGTGTGTGTGTATATGTGTGTGTGTGTGTGTGTGTGTGTGTGTGTGTGTGTGTGTGTGTAAGAGGAGAGAGACCAAGTAAAGAAAAAGAGGCTTTGAATTAGAAAGAGAGAGGGAGGTGGGAGGACAAGGAAGGGAAATGATGTGATTTTGTTGTAATCTGAAAAAAAATACAATTATTTTAAAAGGTCTCAACTTCTTTACTCATCTGCTACCCCCACCTTGGCCATAGTCCCTTTCACTTCCCTGTCTTCTACAGGTATTTCAGGGTAAGTTCTCACATCTGAAGATTAATGTCCCTTGAAAGTCTCACCTTTTCTAAGGGAGCCAAGGGAAGATAACATGGAGCCGAGCGTGTGCAGGATGGTTATCTGAGGGGATTCTGAGAGAAAATATATCATTAGTCAGAACATTGAATCACATAGCCATACATCATGCAACAAATTGTTATGCCCTGTTCTGAAATGTGTGCCCCCAAATGTCATGGCCTTTTCCCACCAGGAGGTCCCCAAGAAGATGATGTTCATAGCAAGTCATGAAGTCCTAAATCAAAATCTGGCATAGATATAATGTGAGGACTTCAGTCTTGGAAGACTGAGCACACATGTCAGTGGTCATGGATAGCCATGACACTCTGAAAATGGCACAGGTTCTCCCCACATTGCTGCCCACATGTCAAAGGCCATCTGTGTCTGAAAGACTTCTATGACAGTTGTCCTTGTCATCCCATAGACTGTAAAAGAACATAAATGTTATTCCAGGTTTCCATTATTTGTGTTCAGATGTTATTGGGCAACCTTGATCATCATTCTAAGAGCAACCATCATTGGAGCTGAAGGCCCATCATCCCTTTGGGACTTTGGCCAGTCTCCTCCATGGTGATTTTTTAGGGTTCACGAGAAGTCCACACAAGACCATCATTCACACATGCAACCGGCAAACACCTTTATTTCCTATGCCAGCATATGCGGCACCATTCACTTGTACAAAATGGCAATGACTCTGAGTAGAGTGTGCAGTCTCCTTTAAGCACAGCCAAGGGGCGCTCCAGGGACAGTTAGGTTATCCTACCTGTAATTGGCTGAGCAAGTGGCAGTTACAGTAGTACATTTCTGATTGGCTAGGGCTAACATGGCCTAGGGCTACAATTCTTCCATCTATGGGCATGTTTGGATAATTCCCAGGGTCTGTCCCTGTATTGGTCATTGCCTTGAGATATTGTGAGGATGTCTGAAGGCCTTGTTTGTGTTCTCTCCTTTGGCCCCAAATATAATTTGTTGATAAATGCCTCCTGCCCTTTTGGGAGAGACACCTTTTTGCCCCTCTCAGAGAACTGAAACCTAAATTCAGTTGTAAAAAGGGGAGAGTTTAACCCCTTTGATTTTCTGTTTATTATTTGTGTGTGTGTGTGTGTGTGTGTGTGCTGGCTTACCTGCAGATGCCCACAGAGGCCACAAGAGGATGTTATGTTCTCTGGAGCTGAGTTACAGGTGTTTTTACCCATTTACATGGATGTTGGGGACCAAGCTCTGATATGCTATAAGTGTAATAAGTCCTCTTACTCATGGAGTCATTTCTCCAGTACCCAGAAAACATTTTTAGAAGATAAATTTGCTCTGTGATAAAAATCCAGAAAAACAAAATCTAAAATACCATTAACAGTCCTGGAGGCCTTGTTTATTCATTTATTAAGCAAACTTGACCAGTGGATATGTTATGTTATTTTATAGCAGATATTTGAATACTGTCTTTACTAAAAGCATTTATTTTTATTTTGGGCTCACCAAAGTCAGGATGAAAGCTTAGCATCTTGATCTTTAGTAATCTGTGGAAAACTTGGAAGGCACATGGATAAATCATAGACTTAAATTTGTGACTGTATTTTTTCAAATACTCAGTTTTGACCTGGATAGCCAAAACAACCATAAGGAAAAAAAATGAACTTTGGAGGAAATACTATTTCAGTTCTTAAAGTATATTACAGAGTGAAAATAATATGGAATTGGCACAAAAGCAGACATGCAGACCAGAAAACAAAACTGAAGACCCACACATGAGTACATGTTACTTTAACCATTTAATATTTGACAAAGATGCCAAAAACATAAACTGCAGAAAAGAACGCATCTTCAGCAATGGTACTTGGAAACTGGATGTCCAAATGCAGAAGAGTGAACCAGACCTGCATCTACCACCTCACACAACACTAACTCCAAATGCATCAAGCCCTAAACACAAAACACTGAAACCACCAGAAGAAAGGACAGGACATTCCCTATCTGATACAGGTATATAGGACAGGACTTTCTGAACAGGAGTCCATTTGCATTAGAGTTAAGGCCAACACCTGATAGGTGGGGCTTGACAAAACTCAAAAGCTTTGAGGCAGATTAAGAAATAATAACCAGGTGAAGAGGAATCCCCCAGAATGGCCATGAATCCTTGTCAGCTGCACATCCACAGAGGACTGATATCCTGAATATACAAAAAAAAAAAAAAAAAAAAAAAAAAAAAAAAAAAACCAAAAGCCCAAGAGCCTAGCCTAATTGTCTTCAGAGAGGCTTCATCCAGCAACTGGTGGAAACAGATGCAGAGCCCCAGTCAAATATCAGGCTGAGCTCTGGGAATCCTGCAGAAGAGATGGCAGGGGTGGGGTGGGGTGGGAGGATTGTAGGAGCCAAAGAGACCAAGGACATCACAAGAAAACCCACAGAATCAACTAACATGGGCTCATAGGGGCTCAGAGTCTGAAGTGACAACCAGGGAGCCTGCATGGGACTGAACCAGGTCCACTGCATATATGGTACAGTTGTGTAGCTTGGTCCTCTTGTGGGACTCCTAACGGGGGAACAGGGGCTGTCTGTTATGATAAATCTTTCCACCAAAAGCCACCCGAGCCCTACTGCCACATGGGCGGTCTCCGCCAGCCGCCTGAGTTCTGCCCACCGAGTTAGGGCCCCAATTAATTCACAGAGACTTCTATTAGGTACAAATGCTGCTTGGCCAATGACTAGGATTCTCATCTGTTAGCTCAGTCTTAATTATCATAAATCTATATATTTTATAAGACTTATCTTAAAGGACGCCTTCCCTTGCCGGTGGATCACATGGAAAATCTGAAGAGAGGGCCCACTTCCTTCTCCCATGTTTATGTATGAGACTCCCTGCTGTGTCATTTCCTGCCTGGATCATCACCTCTTTACTACATTTCCCAGAATCCTCTTTGACTCCTAGTCCCATCTAACTTGCTGCCTCATTGGTCAAACAGTACTTTATTCAACAATCAATAAGATGAACATACACAGAAGTACATTCCCCATCAGCTGTCTCTAACTCTTCGCTGACTTTTGGGATCCTATTCCTTATACATTGGTGCCTTTGACCAAGGTGAAGTGCTTAGTCTTCCTACAACTTGATATTCCCTGCTTTTTGGTACCCACAGGGGGTGAGCCCATTTCTGAACAGAAAGAGTGATTTGGGGGGACAGATGGGAATTGTGTAGGGGAAGGACTGGGAGGAGAGGAGGGAGGGGAAACTGAGGCCAGGGTGTATAAATTTAACATAAATTAAACCCAAAACAAAACAAATTAAAAGCACCAAAACAATAACCCATTGAAAAACAGGTCTAAGACCTGAATAGAAATTTCTCAAAAAAAGAAAAAGAATCTAAGAAATATCTTAAAAACTGTTGATTGTCCTTAGTAATTAGGGGAATGCAAATCAAAATAACTTTGAGATTTCATCTTACCCCAATCAGAAGGGCATAGATCAACAGAACAACCTACAACAAATGCTGGAGGTGATGAAGGGAAAAGGACATTTGTTCACTGGTGGTGGGATTGCAAACTGGTGCAGTCCCTCTGAAGTCAGCATGGAAAATTCTTAAGAAGTTAAAATTATGACCCAGCTATACCTGATCTTGGCGTAATGACTGAAAAACTTGACGTCCTACTCCACAGATCCTTGCTCAAGTCATGTTCATTGCTCTGCTCCCAACAGCTAGGAAAAGGAAGTAACCTAAATGACCTACAACTGGTGGATGAATAATGAAAACATTGAGTGAGGCAAGCAAGACCTGCAAAGACAAACGTTGTTGCATGTTCTCTCTCATCTGAGGCTTCCAGCTCCAGATCTTCAGATGTGAGTACATGGCCCAGGCAACTGCAGGTACCAGGTACAGAAAACAGGACCATTGCCAGGATTGGGGAGTTGAGGATCAATGGAGTGGGGTGACAGAGGGGTTGGTGTGCAATTGGGGAGGGTGACAGGGTACAAGTGATCTGATCAGGGAGGCAGAAGGGGGGCTTCTTAGGGAGGTAAATACAGAGAAGGTTGGAGGAGGGAAAATAACCAGGATGTCTGAAAGAATTTCAAAGAATTGCACTGTAAGTATTACAGCTGGATGGAAAGTTATCCTGGCAGCCAGATGTCAAGGGAAACCAGAAAGTCACACCATACAACAACAAACCTCACATACAGCATTGAGAGGAAAAACAAAAACAAAAACAGGAGGGTGGCTGCATCTGCTTGGGCAAGAAACAGCAGCAAACTGGGTAGGATACAGGGCTCATACATGGCTTCTTGGGAATGGATGGCAATTTTGAGAGTGGAACTTTCCAGAGTGGAGATTGGTGGGATTTCATGTCCAGAGATTGGACTTTTTACTCTGTAGGGTGGGGGCAGTTAGAGTGTTCTGTTGGTAGAACCTGGCAGTCAGAGATCCTTGGGGGAGGGGTCTGGCCATTCATTTTGCTGGAGGAGCCTACACACACTATTAACTGTTTACCTAAAAAAGCACTAATATACATAATTCTTTGTGTAAATATACATATAAAGTTTTCTTTAACTTTTCTAATCTTGTCTGTTGGTGCTCCTTTCTAAGAGCCAAATATCACATGTTTTAGTTAGGGTTTCTATTGCTGTGATGAAACACCATGACCAAAAAGCAAGTTGGGGAGGAAAGGCCTAGTTGGCTTAAACTTCCATATCACTGTTCATTGTCAAAGTAAGTTCAGGAACTCAAACAGGGCAGGAACCTGGAGGCAGGAGCTGATTCAGAGGCCATGGAGGGATGCAGCTTACTGGATTGCTCTTCTGTTTTCTTTTTTTCTTTTTTCTTTAGAAACAATCATTTTACAAATCAATTTCCCTGTTCCCTCTCCCTTCCATTCTCCCACGCCCCCTACCAAGCCCCCAACCCCTTCACCCACTCCCCAAGGACGGTAAGGCCATCCATGGGGGATCATCAAAGTCTGTCACAGCAATTGAGGGGAGGCCTAGGCCCTCTTCTGAGTATCTGGGTTGGAATAGTATCCCTCCATAGGGAATAGGCTCTCAAAGTCCATTTGTGCACTAGGGATAAATACTGGTTCCACTGTTAGAATTCCCATAGCCTGCCCAGGACTCCTAACTGGCACCCACATTCAGAGGATTTGGTTCAGTCCAGTGCTGGTACCCCAGCTTTATGACTGGGGTCCATGTGCTCTCACTAGGTCAGGTCAGCTGGTTCTGTAGGTTTCTCCAGCACTGTCTTGATGGCTTTGTTCATCCCTCCTCCCTCTCTACAACTGGATTCCAGGAGTATGGCTCAGTGCTTAGCTGTGGGTGCCTGCTTCAGCTTCCATCTGCTACTGGATGAAGGCTGTTCAGGGGACCTGGTTTAGTCCTATGTTTCTATCCCAGCTGTCAGACTGGGGTCCATGTGCTCTCCCTTGTTTAGGTCAGCTGTTTATGTGGGTTTCACTAGCCTGGTCCCAACACCTTTGATCTTTATTCCTCCTTCTCTGCAACTCTGGGTTACAGAGTTCAGTTCAGTGTATATCTGTGGATGTCTGCCTCTGCTTCCATCAGCTGCTGGATGAGGGCTCTAGGATGGCATATAAAGGAATCATCAGTCTCATTATAAGGGAAGGGCATTTAGGGTATCCTCTCCACCATTGCCTAGATTGTCAGTTCGTGTCATTCTTGTAGATCTCTGGAAATCTCCCTAGTGCCAGATCTCTCCTCGGACCTATAATGTCACCTTCTGTTATGGTATCTCTCATCCTTCTCTCTATTCTTCTCCCAACTCACCGTTTCTGCTCCTCTATTTCCTCCCCTCCCCTCTCTTCTTCTCCTCTCATTCTGCCAGCTCCCTCTTCCCTACCCTCATGCTCCCAGTTAGGTCAGGAGATCCTGGCTCTTCACATTCTCTAGGGTCCATGCATTTTTCTCTTAGAGTCCTTGTTTCCTAGTTTCTTTGG